TTCGTACGTAGACAAAAGATATTAAAAAATTGGAAGTTCTAGTTTTGCTGTCGTATTATTTTACTTATAATATATTCTTACGTTTTATCGCCACTAATCTCCAATTTCGTTATAATTCTGATAATTCTCGCTTAATTACTTCAATACCTATGCATTAAAAATACACCACTGATTAAAATACGAATGCGATAATGCACATGAAAAAAGACCTCTAGTTTCCACGTTATAAATAAGATATATAAATTTATACAATAGCTTGATTTTAGCAACGTTTGAGAAACTTTCAAATATTTTATCAAATTTTGTTATCGAATCGATGAATTTTCACGTGAAGAATTCACTTGCATTTTCAATGGTGAGAGAAATAACAGAGTGTGCACATATTGCAATCACACATGCTGACTAAACAGACACGTGTATGCGTAGAGAAATATCGGATTTCACCTGTTAAAAACAATTAAACTGTACTCGTTATTATGCAAATAATGTGAGACAATATCGAAAGTATCGAAATATGATTTCCTACTAATTAGTAACGCTGACCGACTTGAATCTTGCGTTTCGACAATCGGTAAGCAAGTTTCAAAAATAATAAATATATAATAATTGAATATAATATCTTTCACGCAGGACGTGAAAATAAAAATTGTTTCTCGTTATCATCCCCAGATTTTCAGAAATTGAATTTTAAAAAAGCTGTCAGAGAGAGATATTCAGTCAAATTAAATATCTTTGGATTTATTGTAGACAGAATATATAATTTCGCATTTTTTTTCCCTCATTAAAACTGAGGGTTGCGAAGAAAAAAGGATCCTCGTATTTTCGTTCGGCACATCGAGATTTATAAAAATAATCCATCGACTATCAAAATATATGAATATAATATAATATTATATTTAATCTTAGCAAAACATCAGTCACGTCTTGTGAACATATTTAAGAATCGAAACCACGACATTTGTAATTTCGCAAATGTTGGTTCAACGCGTTTCGAATGAAACGTTATTTAATATATTGTTGCGCTGTAACACGTGCTGGTATATGCATATCAGAAACGAGCATGGTCAACGTGTTAGAAGAGAAACTGTGCGTCCAATGCGAATAGTATATATATATAAGACACAAGACATGAGAAAGTACGAACACTAAATGAGATACAAGTGTATAAACGGCCAAGTCAAACGTAGGTTTCTAAGAAACAAATCAATCGTTTTGCTCGATTACGTTAGGCAAAAATACTCGTGATCGAATATTCTCCTCGGAGACAAAATTATTGCTGGATGCAAAATGTGCTGTTCGAATCTTTCCACGTAATTATCTTCGAATTTCACGGTTATTTAAATAGAAGTTATGCGTATAGCAAACGTTGCCATTCGCCCGAGATTAATATTATTTATTAATATTATATATATTATATGAATATATTATATATAATATTATATGAATATATATATATTATATGATATGAAATATATTATATGAATATATATATATATATATAATATAATAATATATATATCTATATATAGTATATATAATTACATAATTATATATATAATAATAATAATATATATAATTATATAATAACATAATATAATATAATAATAATATATATAATTATATAATAATATAATATAATATAATAATAATATATAATTATATATATAATTTCATTTCACGCTCGCGATCATTTTAAAAATCGTGTCGATACTCTCTCGCGAAACTATCGCGTGACGCGCGGTCGAACATAAACGAATGGAAAGATTAAACTATACACATGTCGTGTATAAGTAACGTACTGTACATTTTATACTTATTATAATCAAAATAGAATAATAATTAGTTGTTAGAATGGCTTGAAAAGTTTCCACGCAGCAATACTGTATGTTAGATTTTAATGTCTATTGCTCCTGGTAAAAAGTGTTTCGTCAAACAAATTAAGTACGATCGTTGCAAGTACAATGCTTACACATTGTATAATATATATGTTATTAATATTCTGGCGTGCTTAGATTATTCTGTAATTGCTGGATTAATTGATATTAGCTGAATTAATTCGTATAGTAACGCAAAAGCAATATTAAATTATTAATGTCTTTAATTAAAACACCTCTACGATTGTTTTCTTGCGTGTGCGTTTTAAACGAATAAAAATAATAATTTTCATACTGATATTTCGAACGCGAACGAACAAAGTTCGCGAATGTCGTTTAGTTTCCTTGACCAAACATTTTTTACCAGGTCTACGAGAGAACCATAACATTTTTAGTATTACACGAACGCATAAATTGTTAAATGAAAAATGATTTTATTTACATTATCAAAATCTTTGCAATGAGTTAATCAAGTATCCACGAAAGTTTTATTAACCTGTTGATCAGGATGAACGACGTAACTCGCTTTTTTATATCGATCAACATTTTCTTTTGGCGATTCTCGTTTTCTCATTTATTCGTCGCGTAAATCGTAAAATAGTTTGTACGCTCCTTTCACGAGAATCATCCGATTAACAGGTTAAGAATGTTCGGTTAAGAATCAGAATTTTATATTCTATACTGCAATTCGTAAACACAGCCGGCTTAAAAAGTGTCGATAGTAAACGTACTCATGTTGTTATTAAATGCGAATTTTACACTACTGTTAGCGATAATATAATATATATATGTATATATATAAAGTGTTGCAGTGTTGCATCGTTGCAATAGCATTTAGTGCATTATTATATACCGTGTGCAAATAGAATTGTTATCTGCCTCGTTAGATGCTATGGAAGCTAACGTAATGAGATCGTTATTTGTCTTACCTTAAATCTATTAGAGGCAGGAAATCGACGTCTATCAGCGGCCTCAGACTCGGTAGACTATACGTGGCTATGTGACCATTCGAAACGTAGCATACCAGGCAAACGTTATCTGTGGAAAAGAAAAACAATATTGCCTTCTTCTCGTTACAGTAAAAAAATCGCGTACGTAAAAGAAAATGTAACAAATGTAATTATATTCTAAGAACGTTAACGATCGCGTTAAACGATATCATTAGGATATCATTAAGATATTATCGAAGCATAAAAGACTCACTATACAGGGTGTGCCAAAAATGTCTCGCAATCCGAAAGTAGGGGATTCCTGAGGCGATTTGAAGCAACCTTTTCCTTAACGAAAATGCAATCCGCGGCTTCGTTTACGAGTTATTAACGAAAAACAGTGACCAATCGGAGGCGAGATCGTTTGACGCGAGACGGCCGAGCCAATGAGCGGAACCGGGCTCCGCGCACTCGTTGGCTGGGCCGCCGCGCGCCAGCCGAGCTCGTCTCTTATTGGTCAGTGCTTTTCGTTAATAACACGTAAACGAAGCCTCGCAGAAAATTTTCGCAAAGGAAAAAGTTGCTTCAAATGACCTCAGGAACCTCCCATTTCCGGATTGCGAGACATTTTCGGGCACCCTGTATAAAAGACCCACTATAAACTCACCCTTTATAGTGGTTATGTCTGCTTTAATCACAATGTGAGTTTCGGCCAATTGCTGCCTGTACAGACAGTTTTGCGATGGTAACGCCAAAACCCTCGCCTGCTTCTCGGACACTAATACGACGAATTGACGATCCTCGAAGCCGTCTCCTGCAGCTGCCTGGGTAGTCATCGACGGTGACATCCGAGTATTTGTACATTTACCTTGGTTCTCTTCAACAAAGAATCGCGAAATATCGAATTTAAAATGCTGTTTAAAGACGCGTTAAAAATTACAGTAAAATTGTACGTGTTAAATTTACAATGCAAAGCAGAATTTGTTGATACAAATGTCAGTTCATCTCCGCGAATTTTTAGGAAACTCTTAGTTCGTTACGTTTGACATGTATTGCTGGAAAAATTGTTGAACTGCGCGGTTTTTCGTACGGTTGACAATTTACATTAAATATTTGTAGAATAGATAATAATTTACATTAAATATTTATTATCTATTCTACTCAAAATACATGTTGCACGAGAAACATCGGTTTTGCTAGTTGGAAATTATGGTTACCGCTTTATCGATAAGATAAATTATGAGATAAAATTATCGATTTATAAGTGCGATTATCAAGTATTGCGAATAGAGAAGGGAACATACTGTTACGATCTTTGCCCTCGGCACTATCGTCTTTCCAGGACTCGTACGAATATGGGATCAGGCAACCGGTGCAGTCTAGGAAGGCTATCGACAAAATGCATCCCTTCAGCTTAAAGGTAGATCCATCTGTAACAAGGGAAAAAGAAATGTTGAGCCTCGTATTATTAATTAATAATATATACTATATATAATAATTAATTATTATATTAATTAATTATATTATAATAATTATTATATTAATAATATTATATTAATTAAATATATTATAATAATTATTATATTAATAATATTATATATTATATACTTATTATATATATAATATTGTATAATATTATATTAATTAATTATATTATAATAATTATTATATTAATAATATTATATTATATTAAAATTAATTTACTGCACACATTGACGTAACACGATCGTGGTACGAAAGATAATAAAAATAAACGCACAGACTTGGTCGACGATTTAATGAATCGTAGTAACACTTACTGCATGTAGAAACAACGACTGGGTGAGCGTGTCGGTCTGCTCGAGCGGGCGTGTTAAATATCACCGTTTGTATGGATCCTAACGATGTGCCGACCCAGAGCGTTGGCACCGGACAGGTATCTAAAGAATCGAGAGAAGGTTTCTGTAGCAACGATCCATCGTCATTCGCTATGATAAATACAGTAATGTCTCTCTAATTGACGCCCAGATTGACCACAAAACTGGACAATCTAGGAAGAGGAGATACGATTATTCGAGCCTTGCGGTTTATCCATTTTAGTGGACAATCTGAGCGTCAGTAAGGGAGACATTACTGTATCTGTCTCTTATACACATCTAGATGTGTATAAGAGACAGGTGGCGGGTTGCTCAGGTCGTTTGAAACAACTTTTTCCTTTACAAAAATTTTCTCCGAGGCACCGTTAACGCTGTCTCTTATACACATCTAGATGTGTATAAGAGACAGGTGGCGGGTTGCTCAGGTCGTTTGAAACAACTTTTTCCTTTACAAAAATTTTCTCCGAGGCACCGTTAACGCTGTCTCTTATACACATCTAGATGTGTATAAGAGACAGCTTCCCAACTTGTCCACTTTTGTGGACAATCTGAGCGTCAGTAAGGGAGACATTACTGTATTAACTTTCTGCTTTTGGTTCGATGAAGTTACAGTAATGTCTCTCTAATTGACGCCTAATTTTGGAAAAGGAGATACGATTATTCGAGCCTTTTGGCTCGTTTTCATAGTTATAAATTGTCAACAATTATAAAAACGAGCCGCAAGACTCGCATAATCGTATCTTCTCTTCCCAACTTATCCACTTTTGTGGACAATCTGAGCATCAGTAAGGGAGACATTACTGTATTAACTTTCTGCTTTCGGTTCGATGAAGTTACAGTAATGTCTCTCTAATTGACGCCTAATTTGGGCAGAGGAGATGCGATTATTCGAGTCATTTGGCACGCTTTTATAATTGTATATAGTCAACAAATTTAAAAACGAACCGCAAGGCTCGGATAATCGTATCTCCTCTTCCCAAATTATCCATTTTTCTGTACAATCTGAGCGTCAGTAAGGGAGACATAAATTGCATCGACATTGTGGGAATTTTGTTGGTCGATCGTCGACGCTGACCACAACGAACAACGCGCGGATTAAGAGCTAAAAGAACGGTGGCTCGACGTACCAGTTTTCTTCGTGTAGGAATCTGCGAATGTAAGGCAGCTGATGGTTTCGGTGGTGATGTTCTCGAGTGACGACATGCTCGAGCTCCTTGACCGTTGAAACGAACTGTCATATTTGTCTACCCGACCAGCAATCCCAACAATAAATGGAACATTAAATATTGCACGGGAGAGAGTCGACGTTTGTGTGTGGTACGTGTGTTTGTGTGTGTGTGTGTATTTATGTGTGTGTCAACGGACATGCAACATCTATCATAATACACATCTCTGACACGTAGCGTTCTTATCGAATGAATTAACGAGAGAGGATTGCGCTGAGAGAGTCGGTCAGAGTGTGAAAGAAAACGATCAACAAGTGTATCGTGTTATAATAGCAACAATGTCCAAGAACAACGATAATCACATCGACAACAATAACAGCAACAATAACAACAACAACAATAATAATAATAACAGCGACAGCAACAACAACGACTATGACGACTAGTATCTCTCTTGAGAGGATAGTTCACAGAATAAAATCTTTCATTCAATTCAGCATTCATCAAGTCGATCGGATGAACTGAGATTTTATAGATATACTATATACGGAGAAGTTTTTTTTTCGTTCGAGATCGCCGCAGAGCAAAGGACACGGTGTTGTAATTAAATCGACGGGGAATAATTAACGGCATACGTTAACGTTATCGTTCTAAAGCAGCACGCACGTCTCACGGTGACCTATACGCTCGTACGGTTATACAACGTGAAAACGTACTATTGTTCGGTAAATCTCGTTTTTTTTTCTCTCGTTTCTTTTCTTTATTTTTTTTTCACTACGTCCGAGATTAGAAGACGCGCGATCGGATATTCACGCTCGAGCAGATTTTAGAAGATCATGGTTCGTAAAATATAATACATCAAAGTACTGAGACGGCAGAACCTAATTTCGAATGATCGCTCCCCCTCATCGGTACACACTCGGACTAATTAGAGGCGCACGTGCTTCGCCAAGAAGCTCTGAATCCTTTGAATTCAGCGAGAATCGTTTCAATTCAGAGGCTCGCTTGTTTTTGACAATAGGGAAAAAAGTCGAAAGCCAATAATTTGATAATTAATTAATATAATATATAATAAATATATTAATATAATATATTAGTATAATATATAATATGATTAATTAATTTGATAATTACGATGCCACTACGCTGAGGCGTAGTCTCAGTCATGGTCTTTTGAAATGGGATCACTTTTTTATTCGCATTCTGATAGAGCCTTTCAAAACCCTCGAAATCAGGCAACTTTTGTCCGACACTCTTTTTTTCTACTGTCAAAAACGAGCGAGTTATTCGGGTGTCTCGTTACGAATGCCTCATTGTGTATAATTGTCGCACTATAATTAAAGTCGCGTTGAAATTTTCGAAGGCTCAAGGTGTTGCATTTAGATTGAATTATACAGCGTGTCCGAAAATTATGGACTATTATTACTTCCGGGAAATGAGAGCTTCCTGAGGCCATTTGAAGTAACTTTTCCCTTTACGAAAATGTTCTCCGATGCATCGTTAACGAGTTATCAACGAAAAACACTGACCAATCGGAGAGCGAGTGCGGCCGGCGCTCCGCCCTTGCGACGAATGTCGCGTCGCGCCAGTCACCTGACGCAGCAGCAGTGGACGCGAGGGCGGAGCGTCAGCAGTGCTCGCCTCTCATTGGTCAGTGTTTTTCCTTAATAACTCTTGAACGAAGCCACGGATTGAATTTGCGCTGAGGAAAAAGTTACTTCAAATCACCTCAGGAATCCCTCGTTTCCAGAAAGTGACATAGTTTTGGGACACCTTGTATACCGTCTATTCGTACGTTTTCATAACTGAAATCGGATAGAAATCGGAAAGACGAGCCAGCCTGTTTGTTGTTAACCAGTGCAATCGACAAGACCCACCTGGGCTCAAATAATCAGCGTGGCTAATAAATGGTTCAAAGCAGAAAAGTAATCATACGATCGCTCCATGCTTGGATTTCGTCGCTGTTAAACTACTTTGTCGTCAACTAGCGCAACGAGTGATGAGGGGCGGCAACGTTATCAGAGAAAGGTTCGGCGAAGCGTGATCATAAGGAGGGAATACTGTGCATTTTTTAAATAACCAAGAACAGGAAAATAACCGTTCTCGAGGTGATCGAAAGACGTCGGCCGTTTCGCGCGTTCGTCGATTTTCGCTTTAGAGACTATGTTGATTTTTTCGTTAAACTTATCAGTTCGGTATCGCAAAATTATGAACAAATGCTACGGGAATTATGATTTATTTGTCACGTAAAAGGGCAAATTTTGATGAAAGATTTATACCGCGTCGGTAGCTTTGCGCTGAATATTAAGCATTCATAGCAGAGAGGACGGCGACAATAAACGGAAGAATTTAGATGACACGTGTGTTATCTTTTCGTCCGAGTGTGTAGATTCGGAGATTTTTCGATCCTTCGATTAGATCATTGAACTGCCGGAAACTGTGCGTCGTATTTTCTGGCGCACCCTTAGCGGAACGAGCCCCATTTCTTTACGTAACTCGGTCTTTAACACGTGGCAATTAGAAAAAGCTTGCACAGAATATATTAGTACGCTGTTCGAATGCCAGACACGTGATATACATATATATAACGTTTACAGATTTATTATATTTCTTACGACGAAAACAATTAGCTGTAACTATCAAACATTACTGAAATTATTGCGAGTTCGACACATCCCACACTCTCAGAGACACTTCAAAGCTCGAACATAAAAGGATGACCTGATTCCAAAACTGAAAAATATATATATGTATAGAGAGAGAGAAAGAGAGAGATAGAGAGAAAGAGAGAGAGAGAGTCAAAATGAGCACAGACAATTCACACTCTATAGAAAGAAACGAAATTTCGGTAGCAGTAATATATGTGTATGCATTTTTCACTAAAAGGCATTCTTCAACATCCTCGAACTGTCTAAATGTTTTCGTATTCGTTTTGGTTATACATACACGCACGTGCGCGCACGTCTACGCAAGATCTTGATGAAGATCAAAGTGTATTCGCTTAGGATCGATTCTTCGCAGAGACGAGAATCTCGAAAGTGACAGATAAATCCTGCGAGAAACGTTCGCGGAGAATTTCGCGAACTTTTTTAAGATTCTCGGAAGCTGTTCAACGAAATTCTACAGATCGAGTTGATGTAAACAACAAAATCTGTTGCGTTATTTGCATTGAAATCGTAGAAACGATTTATAGATCATTTTACAAAGCGACGATTCACTGATTCGACGAGAATAACAAATCCACAGACTGGATTGCAACAAACAATTTCACTCTCAAAAAATTCTATCGAAGAAGACTCGCTGATACATTATCGTATAATCTCTTCGTTGTAAAATTGATTCGCAACGTTTCGTTATTTTATTTTCAATGTAAAATCTCCTGGCAGAATTGGTAATAATAACATTTAATTAGTAATTGTAGTGTAGTAATAATAACATAGAACTGGTAATAATATAATATAATGATTTCCTTGACTCTGTCGTTTGCACTTTTCTCTACTTACATAGATAAATAACTAGTTAGAAAAATAACTATTGTTCGACAAAATTGAATCCTTGAGAAACAGGTGTTAGCGAAGTAAAGGCACGACGTTGCCCTGTTACAGTAAATTCTCCCTAAATGACGCTCAGATTATGGTTGTTGACAGTCGGTAACTATAAAATAAAATAAATAATATAATATAATAAATAATAATGTAATAATATAATATACTATAATAAATAATAATATAATGTAATATAATATAATATAATATAATATAATATAATATAATATAATATGATCATAATAATAATAATAATATAATGAATAATAACATAATAAAATAAATAGTCTCTTCTCAAAAAACCGTGAACAATCAGGGCGTCAATTAGAGAGAATTCACAGTATCTAGGTATTAAAAAAGAGGAAAGGAAACGTCGTCTATTGTCGGCAAAATGATTATCACTGCGACGGGATCGATCTTGAATGAACGCGACCGATCTTCATTAACATCCTGCATATCCGATAATTCCATACATCGTATACACCCAGCCAATATAAGTTAGTTGAAACGTATCGTTAGGCCACATCTATTAGAGAAAAAGTAGTCAACTGAAATAATAAGGCAGATAGAGGAAATAGTCGTAGAGAACGCGGCAGAGAAGTAATCTTGATCGAATGTGCAGAGTGAGAACTAGAAATCACGCAAAGTTAGATGATTAGTGCCATTTCCGTGTAAAGTCTTGGAGAGAAAAGTGGTTTGATCAAGAGCGAGTGAGGCAAGATCATTAAGAAACAAAGATGCGATGCAGAGAAGTAAATTCTGCCGAAGGTACGGATCGACACTCAGCAAAGACCAGACAGTATTTATCAATCAGACACAGCGGGGAAAGGATACGAGACAACGGAGGACCAACAATCTTGCGAACAGGCGTTTCCCGTGGTGGTCGCTAGTTATATTTCCTCGTTCGCGTCTCTCGCACGGCGAACCCGTGTCGAAGCCTCCTCGATTATTCGACGACTCCGAGACGAGAGAACTCGAACGTTTCAGAATGTCTAAGTTCCATTCGCAACCTGAATTTCGAAGCTTTCCGAATGGTTCGACGAAAATATCGCAAAAATACAAACGACTGTTCGACGTGAAACGGGCCATTGTTTTCTTGGCAATTGGCTTCGATCGTTACTTCGGTCGATATTCTTTTCCGCTGTGAAAGTTCGCGACGGATTTCCGAGTATTTCCAAATTAAAAATCATCGGTTATGCCAAGGTTATGTCAAGGTCGTTTGCGCGAACAAGGTATCCGGGAAATTGTGGAACAAGAGAGCGACGCGTTATCAGAGAAGTGTGGAACACGATCGGTCACGCGGCCGTCCAGAGAAATGATTTCGAACGTGAAAATATTTTGTGCATGTGGTTTCGCTACGGACTGTGCAGTCTACATCTCGTATGCGACGTTCCTGTCTGTTCCAACGACACTACGCAATCGTCCTGATCGCAAAAATAGATCAGTTGGCGGAGACCGAAAAGTTGTTCTCCTTTTCGAAACGTTCGAAAGCTGTTGCGGCATGGACAACTCATTCGTGCATGTTTTATTATCGATAGGTTT